AAGAGAGTCAAAGACAAATATCATATGATGTCACTTATATGTGGAATCTAAGAAGTGACACCAATGAACTCATTTACAAAACAAAAACAGACTCACAAACATAGAAAACAAACATGGTTATCAAAGGGGAATAGGTGGGGAGAGGAATAAATCAGGAGTTGGGATTTTCAGTTACCAGCTAGTGTGTATGAAACAGATAAACAACCAGGTCCTACTGTATAGCACAGGGAACTCTATTCAATAGCTTGTAGTGACCTATAAGGGAAGAGAATATGAGAAGGAACGTATGTGTGTGTAACTGAGTCACCTTGCTGTACACCAGAAACCAACGCAACATTGCAAATCAACTAGACTTCAATAAAGGTTTTAAAGACACACTGTTATTAACTGTGGGCACCATGCTGTGCATTGTCTGCAGAACGTATCCATCTTACAAATGAACAGCTGCGCCCTCTCACCTGCATGTCCCTTTGTCCCCCAGTCCCCGCCCTGACTAGCACCGGTCTTCTCTCTGCTTCTCTGATTTCAACTCTTGTCTCTAGATCCCACCTGTAAGTGAGACCCCACAGGAGCTGCCTGTGTCTGGCTTATTTCATTTGGCATAATGTCCTTCAATTTCATTCATGTTGTCCCAGAATGGCAAGGTCTTCTTTTTTTTTTAAATGCTGAATAATATTCCGTTGTATATATATTATGTATGTATACATCACATGATCTTTGTCCGTTCCTCTTGCCGACAGACACAGGTTGTTTCCATGTCTCGCCTACTGCAGGTTATAGTGCAGTGAACACGGGGGTGCAGGTGTCTCTTCAAGACAGTGATTTCTCCTTCTGAGGATGTGTTCCCAGAAGTGAGATTGCCGGATCATGTGGTGGTTCTACTTTTTAACTTTTTGAGGTGCCTGCCTACTGGCTTCCATGGTGGCTTCACCAGTGCACATCCCCACCAGCAGCGCACAAGGGGTCCCCATCCCCCACATCCTCGCCAAGACGTCCTCCTTGACTTTCCGATCGGGTCCACCCGAACAGGTGTGAGGAGATGTCTCTGTGGTTCTGACTTGTATCCCCCTGATGACTAGTGATGCTGACCATCGTTCCCTGTACCTATGGACCATGTGGATGGATGTCTTCTTCGGAAAAATGTCTATTCAGATGCTTTGCCCGTTTTTTAAATTGGGCTGTTACAGGGTTTTGTGTGTTTGTTGCTGTTGGGTCGTATGAGGGAAGGGCACAGATTTGAGACGTGGAGAAGACAAGCCTGTAGCTGGGGGCCTACTCTACAGAAATAACAAACCAATTAACGAAGTCTAACAGGAGAAGAGAAGCAAGAGGTGGAGAGACGTGGAAATTAATTGCAGCGCGTTTTGAGAACCAGGTTCTAGCGCTGCCCGAAGCTAGAATCGCCCCCTGGATACTTGAGTTATACAAGGCAGGGAGTCCCCCTGTAGCTGAGACTGACTTGGGCTGGATTTCTGCCACCAGATGAAGTCCCGACAAACACGATGCTGTGGTTGAGCGCTTGCTCGTGTCCCGCCATGCACCCCGCCCTGCCATCCACCTGTGTGCGCGTGGACTTGTCGCTCTGGTTCTCTGCGCTGTAGCCCAGTGGCGGGAACGTGCCGGATGCACAGCAAGGGTTTTTCAAGCGGCCGTGAGGTCTGCATGGACGGCTGGGATTGGACAGCTGGAAGGAGTGAGAGAAGATACGGTCCAACCCCTTACTCTGTAAAATGAAGAAACAAAGATCCCCAAAGATGAAGAGATGGCATCCAGGTTACACAGAAAGTTAACGGTGAAACTCAGAGGAGAACCTGGGAAGCCAGACTTCCACTGCCCACCATGTGACACACGCTCACCAGGGCTATTGATCAGGAAGGGGGTTCTTTTATTTTATTGAGTTATAGTCATTTTACAATGTTGTGTCAATTTTCAGTGGAGGGCACAATTTTTCAGTTATACCTGAACATACAT